GGGATCAGGGTGTGAGGCCCACTGGCTTCCTTGCCAGCCCCTGGAAAGGCTGTGCTGTGACCCAGTGAGGCTACCCCTGAGGGCATCTGGGTTTTTCTTTAACCCCTCATCACTGAACTTCCCCTGCAGTGATGACAGCCCTGGTGCCCAGGCAGGATGTGGGGCACCTACCCGCTGCCAGCAGAGGACAGGCTGGGATGCTTTGGTTTCATGAGGAAGGGAGAGGGCGGAGGATGGGCCTCCCTCCTGTGGCTTTGGGTGGGGCCTGCAGAGGAGCTGGCCCTGGTGCTTCAGGCCCTGGGAGGGGTCACTGTGGAGACGGGGCCCTCGTAGGCCTTCCCTGTTCAGCTGTTTTCAAAAAATAAGATACTCTTATATCACTGTTAAATTATACAAGTGACACGTGCTTATTGTTTTTTTTTGTTTTTAAAAAAAGAAGAAAAGAAAAAAGAACAGTGTAGAGATGTGTGAGTAAGAAAATGCATGCTCCAAACCCCACCCACTCCGCAGTCCCACCCCTCGGCTGAGCTGTCCGCGTGGTGCTCATCCTCCAGGCCCGTTGTAGCATCCTCCACAGATATGTGAGGGTCTCCGGCGCTGCTTTTCCCCTTTGTCCACACCATCCCGTGGAGGGGAACAGGGCAGCCGCAAGCGTGCCAGCCTGGAGTCAGACAGACTGGTTCACCGCCGTCAGGCCGCTTAGCTGTCTCATGGGAAGTGGGGCCAGCAGGCTGTGAGGGGTAAGGGACCTCACCCATGAGAAGCCTGGACCCCATGTTCAACACGTAAAGTCACAATGAATCTCTATTATTGATGGTGTATATTTATTTTTAATTAAGAAAAGTTACTATCCCATTACTATTCCATTTGGTGGATTTATCATCATTTACTTACTAAACCAGTCCCTGTTGATGGATATTATGTTGTTTCTGTGTTCACTGTTAAGATGGTGCTGCAGTACCCAGTGGCTCAGTTGGTTGGAGCATCGTCCTGTACACGGAAGGGTCGTGGGTTCAATTCCTGGTTAGGGGCACATGCCTGGGTTGCAGATTCAGTACCTGGTTGGGGTGCGTGCAAGAGGCAGCCAATTGATGTTTCTCTCACATCAGTGTTTCTCGCTCTCTCTCCCTTCCTCTCTCTGTAAAATCAGTAAACTTATCTTAGGGTGAGGATTAAAAAATGTGTGGCCCTGGTCTGTTAGGCTCAGTGGTTAGAGCGTTGGCTCATGGATTAAGCAGCCATGGGTTCGATTCCTGGTCAAGGGCACGTACCTGGGTTGCACATTCAATCCCTGGCCCAGTCGGGGGCCATGCAGGAGGCAACCAGTCAACGTGCCTCTCTCACATCGATGTTTCTCTCTTTCCCCTCCCTCCCTCCCTCCCTCCCTCCCTCCCTCCCTCCCGCCCTCTCTCTCTCCCTCTCTATCTAAAAATTAATGGAAAAATATCCTTGGGTGAAGATGAACAAAAAATAAAAATGAAGTTTAAAAATGTGTTGCAGTGCCCATGTGGATGTGTACATCTGTGTGTAGGTCTGTGTAAGATGATTATGTGTATTTGTGTGTGTGCCCTTGTAAAGCTGCTGGGTCAACACACCTTTTGGCCACTCCTCCTCTCTAACACGGTGTGGTGGCAGTCATTTTCCTCTTTGTCAATAAATGGAGGAAAGGTGACACTCCTTTCAATATATCTCCTTTCATTATTAATGAGGCCAAGCATCTTTGCATATCTTTATTAGACATTTTCATTTCTTGAATAATGATATGTTTATTTCCTTTCCCCATTTCATTAGCTGTCTCTTATTGTTTTGTGGGTGCTTATTACATATTATGGATACTGACCCTGTTTTATGTATGTTGCAAATATCTTCATATGGTTTGTCATTTGCTTTGTAAGTGTTGGTGGGCCTTTTGATATATGTGGTGCTTAACATTTTTATGTAGTGAAATTTATTAGTCTTTTTTTTTTGTAAGAACTGTGAGGTCTAGTTCAGGCTTTGAAAGTTACTTTCCAACATTAAATTATAATAATATTCTAATAGTTCTGGCATTTTCATAGATTTGCTTATATGTCTTGTTATATCTTTAATCCAAATAAATCTCTGAGTGTGGTGCATGTACTATATTTAAAATAGGGTTCTCCGCCCTCTCACTCTGTATCCCGTTTTGTCATACTGTTTATTTTACCTGCTTGTTTGTCTACTGCTCATCTTCCCTGGCTAGACCCTCAACTCCACAAAGGTGGGGACCTTTTCTGTTTTGTTTACTGCTAAGTCTCCAGTGCCCAGAACAGTGTCTTATACATAGTAGGCTCTTAATAAATATTTGTTGAATGAATAGACAGTTAGAGACTGGTCACAACTCTCCCATTTAAATAATTCATTTTGCCTGGCTAGTGTGGCTCAGTGGTTGAGCATCGACCCATGTGCCAGTTCAATTCCCAGTCAGAGCACATGCCCAGGTTGTGGGCCAAATCCCCATTGGGGGCCATGCAAGAGGCGGCCAATTGATGTTCTTTCTCATCGATGTTTCTATCTCTCTCTCCCTCTCCCTTCCTCTCTCTCGAAAATCAATGAAGAAAAATTATTTTAAAATATAAGTAATTCATTCTTTCTCTGTTAATTTGGAAGTCTATCTTTGACAGCCTTTTCTGTTTCTTCTATTATTATTGGTCTATTTAGGTTTTCTCCCTCTTCTTCAGTTTTTACAATTTATAATTTTCTAAAAAATCATCAATTTTGAAATTCACTGACATCAGGTTATGGATTAAATTCTCTTAAACTTTAAAAAATGTTCATATACATGTTTACATTACCTTTCTTAATGGTTATCTGCGATTTTTTACTTTGCTGCTTACAGATTAGCCTGAGGTTTGTCCATTTGGTCTCAGACAATCAGTTTGCAGCGTTATTTATATTTCTATTATTGCCATTGCTGTACTTTTCTCATTCATGTGTTTTTGTTTTCAACTTCATTTCTTCCTTCTGAGGCCATTTTGATTTATTTTATTCTTTTTCAGCTTCTTGAGTTAGATGCTTAATTCATTGAATTTCAATCTTATTTTATCATAAAAGCATTTAAGGTTTGTATTTTCCTCTAAATGCAGCTTTGATTACATTCCACAGACTTTAAAGTAGGGTTCTCAATGTTGGGCATCTATACATATGCTACAAACTTCAATCCTATTATCCTTTTTGACTCAATAGTTATTTAGAAAAATGCCCCTTCAGTTGTCACGTTACTTTTTTATTTCTTGCTACTTGTTCATTTCCAATTCTGTTGTACGGAGAACTGAGACTGTGGTGTATGTGTTGAAACTGGAGATTTCTTGGCATCTAGTACAAGGACTTTTGAGAAAAAGGAATTTTCTCTGTTTCTTGAGCATATATGAAGTTAGGCTTATTACCTTCAAATCTTCATAGTTGTCATTGGAGGTTCCTTGTGCCATCAAACTGTGAGTGATACGCTCAGCCTTCACTGTCGTTTTGCCTTCTTGTGGTTTTAAGAAGGTTTTATTTCACATGTTTTATGATTCTGTTGTTCAGGGTGAAGGTTCATGATATTTGTGTCTTCCTGGAGAAGACCTAGCAATATAAAATGTTCCATTTTATCCTGTGTAGCATTTTTGCATTTTGGCTGATATTGACATTGACTTTCTGCATTCTTTCTGTTAGCATTTGCCTGTTACGGCTGTTGGCCTTTTCTCTGCCTATAATGTTTCTTTGGCGATTTGTTTCAAATGTATCACTTCCAAACAGCCTGTGGCTGGGTTTTTTATTCACATTCTCAGAGTGATTTAATTTATTCACATTCTTGTAGTTGTTGATGTGTTTGGTCTTATTTTCTTTACCTTATTTTGTGTCGTTTTTAATGACACTTTTTTTCGTTCCAGTCTAGTTTTCCCTCTCCTAACTCTTGCTGAATTTATTGAATTTTCTTCGGTTCTCCCCTCCCTGCCCCCACACAGTGGTTCCAAAGGTCTGTCACTTGTTTTCCTTCAAGAAATGCTTACCCTTAAATACAAACTTGAAGCGCACACTTCTCTATTCACGTCAAGAATTCAACGGTGTCCGCTTCCCAGTACCACGAGACCATGACTATCAAACATTTGTTTAGATTTGACTTGTACATTTTTCTACTTTTGTTGTTCATCACCATTTCCTGTGTGTCCTGTCTTGCCCTTTCTTGAATTACTTATTCTGATACAGCTTTTATTTGGTTGGAGTAATTCCTTGAGTAATTTTGTTCCAAAAAGATAAGTGGGCGGCATCCTATTTTTAGTACTTCTCTCTTTGGCTTTGAGGCTTCGCTGAGTAGGCTCTCGGGCTCTGACTCTTCCTCAGAGCTCTGGAGGCTTTGCTCTGTTGCCCTCTAGCAGTGGGTGATGCGGATGTCAAGTCCAATGTCAATTCGAGTCTTGAAAATTTTGTAGAGACTGTCAGAGATGAAGCTGAGCTTATTGCTCTCTGCGGAGCCTGATGTCTGGAGGAACAGGGCAAGGTGGGGGTTCGTTGAGGCCTGGAAGTCCCTAAAGTGGGGTCTGGGGACTGGTGGGAACAGGGAGGGGAATTTTGAGGCAAAGCGAGGGGTTCAATCAATCTTAGGGCACAGACTCTTGGTTGAAGAGCTGATGGTTTCTGTAATACACAATCAAACCATTTGCCGGGACTAGTGTCCTGGAAGAAGAAGGTCATGCTGATGAGGACAGTGTGGGCAGGTGGTCACGTTCTCCCCTCCCCACCCCCACTTCACTCACTATCCTTGGATTTCAGGAATCCACCGGCCTGCCCCGCCCTGGCTCCCGCGGCCTCCAAGGGAGTGCCGGGGTGATTGGCAGGTGGGCCTTTCCCTGCTTCCTGGGCGAAGCTGGCTCAGCTCTGATTAGATTTTCTGTCACTCCCACTCGTCTGCTTTTCAACACACTTGCTGACCAGCTGGTGCTACTATGGGTCTGTTCTTATGTACATTTCTGTCTATTTCAGCAGTGCTCGGAGGAGAAGAGGTAAACAGATGGGCTCAGTTTGCCTGTAGAACCTCAGGTGTGTGTAGCTTTCAGGATGGGGGGGGGGGGATGCAGGCAGGTCTACCACCTCTCCACCGGCCACTGGAGGCCGGGTGTGGTGTTCAGGTGATGCTGGCCTCACTCTGGGTGGGAGAGGGGCGGCTCTCTCCCTCCACCTCAGCCCATCTCCTCCTCCAGCCACGCCCCTGCTCCTGGCCACATTACCTCACTGACTGGAACGGTTCCGTGACCTCGCTCCGTCGGCAGGTTAGGTCCAGGCTGTCTCATGCATCAGGTTCTTCCCTGGCCCCGCTCTCCCCTCATGAGCTGTCCCTGCCCCTCACCTCCACCATGTGGACAGCGTGAAACTTCCTAAACATTTGGCCAGTTTGAGGTCTCCTGTCTACTTACACTTCTTCCTTTGTTTGAAATGTCCTCTTTCTCTTTCTGTCACATGTTCAGACACCTCCCGAACGGACTACTCTCTCCTCTCTGCCTTCGCCAAATGGTCGCTTAGAGCCAGCGGCACTGGAATGCATTCCTTTGGTCCCTTTCCCCTGATGTGGTCCCCTAGAAGGCAGGGACCGACTCTTTGCTGTCTTGTATCCCCAGCAGCTACTGCCAGGCCTGACCCAAAAAAGCTGTTAAATGAATGAACAGCCGAATTAGGTTCTAAAGAGAGTTGTTCTGCGCTGACTGTGTATGAGCCATCACACCAGGCTCTAGGGCTGGGGATGGGTCAGACGGAGCCCGCCGAAGTCCACAGGGGTGTGAGCCTCTGCATGCGGCAGCTGTGCTCTGGGCACTTTGGGGAGGCAGGACTAAGTCCAGTTTGGGGAACTGAGCAAGTCCTGAGGGAGGATGGGCAGGATTTGGCCAGGTAGACATGGCCGTGCGAGGAGGGAGCAGCATTTTAGCGAAGGCTTGGAGGTGGGAAGTTGTGGACTGTGTTTATGGAATAGCACGTTCTGAGAAATCAGTGTTTCTGTACCGGGAAGGATCGTGCACAGGTGTTTTTAGGAAGAAATGAGATCTATCGGAGGGTGTGAGGTCAGATCTGGGGGATGGGAAACCGTGAAGCGGTGGAGAGCTTGGACAACAGGGTCAGGAGATGATGCGGAGCCACGGAGCCAGTCCAGCCACCGTGTGCCCTGCAATGCTGTTCTGGCACATGGGTGGGACACGGCTGCTGGATCTGAGAGCAAGTGTGGGGTGGACCGCCAGGGGGGCTCACGGTGGGACGTAGTTGCCGAAACACTGACTATTCCCAGGCTGTCAGTAAAAAGTATGGTGCCCAAGGGGAGGAGGTGACAGTCCCCAGGTCTGTGCGCAGGTTACTCCAGAAGTAGGTGGCCGCTCGGGGGCAGTGAGGATATCCACAGCACTTACCCCCCCGGTCCACGTGCCGGTGTTGGCCCAGACGCTCTGCAGGTGCTGCCTCAGGAAAACCTCGGAGGCACTTGCCTTTCTTAGCCCCCCTTTTTCAGACACAGCAAAGCTAAGCCACCTCCCGAAGCCGCAGAGGTAACGAAGAGAAGGGCTGGGACTCGAACCCGGCACTGCCTCCAGCAGGCAGTCATTGTTGTCGAGCTCTGGCCTCCTTTGGCCTGGAATGCCGTCTTGTTTAATGATTTGGGGAATACAATGTGCTCTTGTGTCCAGTGTTGTATTTAATTCTCACTCAGGCCCAAATGTGAGTCACTTTGCAAGTTGTGTTCGTTTTCTCTTGCTGTGTAACAATTACCTCAAACTTCGTGGCTTCAAACAACCACCGTGTGAATGCACAGTTCTGTAAGCCAGACGTCGGTGCGGAGCGGCTGGACTCTCTGCTTAGGGCTGACACCTAGGTGTGTCCAGGCTGAGCTCTTGCCTGTGGCTCTGGGGAACATCCCCCTTTTCAGGTGTTGACGGAGTCCAGGTTCTGTGGTTGTGGGACTGTGGCTGTTTCTCTTCTGGTGGTCAGCCGGTGGGGGATCCGATGCTGTCCAACCCCAGAGGCATCACTCAGGTCCTTTCCATATGCCCCTCCCCCATCTTCAAGGCAGCGAGTGCCCGTCCAGTTCTGATTCTAATTTCCGTGACTTCCTCTTCTGTGACCAGTCAGAGAAAACTTTGCTTTTAAAGGACTTTGTTAATGCGATCAAGCCCACAGTATCACCTTCCTATTTTAAAATCAGCTGTGCCCTATAACATAACTTTATCATGAGCGTAAAATCGATCCTATTTGCAGTCCTGGGAATAAAGCAGGACATGCACACCCGGGGACAGGAGTCTGCCCACTCTGCTGGTGAAGAAGCGGAGGCTCAGAGGGTAGGAGGAGCTGGGTACGAGGTGGCCACCAGGCCACACCGTCCTCCCTGCATTAAGACAGGCAGCTTGGAAAGAGTTGAGAGCCTGGGCCTCTGGGACCAGGCAGAGATTGCTCTGTGTCTAAAGAGGTTGACCAAGCAAATGCCTTGACCGTGTGTTTCAACCGTCCTGCAGGATTACAGACACACACCCGGCAGCCTCGGACTAGTTCATGGAGGAGCCTCGAGAGATACTGTCCAGGCAGGCTCTCCCTTCCGTCGGGCAGAGCGGAGCGTGAGAGGAGGCGGCTGCAGCGGGAGTGGACATGAACGCTGGTTTTCAAAGAGAACAGCGTTTTAGTTTTGGTCATCGCAAGTGGTGCCTTCAGCACAGGTAAGACATGGGCCGTCCTGAATACGCTTGCTGGGGGCGCCTTCGGTGTTCCTTGCATATGCCGGCTAGTGTGTTCTTCCCCTAAAATGTATTGTTGTTATAGTTACTTTGTTGCCTTCCTTGAGCCTCTGTGAAAGCTGGAACTTCTAGGGACTTCCATGGCCAGGAGTGCCAGCTCTGTCACGGCACTGCCCCATGCTGTCTCCCCCAAATGTAGTCCTGTGTCCCCAGCTCCTCAGTTCCCATCGTGTCGCTGGCAGCCTCTCCTCCTAGGGACCACAGCCTCCCACCGCCAGCCCCTCTGTGTCCTCTGGCTTTCCAGAGCTCCACCTTCTCTGCTCCCCTCCCCACCCACGAAGGCTCTTGTGTACCCACTCCCTGGTCAGAGGAGCACAGTGGATGCTGGAGACTGAGCACCCCCTCTTCAGGGCCCTCCCCTTTGTGAAGAATCGAAAGGATGTCAGGTTCTGGGCCCAGCTGCATGTTAGCATCACCTGGAGAAGTCTTCAAAATCCCAGGAGCAGGGCCCCAGCTCCAAAGATACTTGCTGAATTGACCCGGGAGGCGCCCCAACCTAGGCTGTGTGTGTGTGCGCGCGTGCGTGTGTGTGTGTGATCGCTCTTTTGTTTTCAGGTATGTGTTGTGGTTTCAGGTTAGAAGTTCAGGCTGTGATTCAGATTAGGTGTGTGGTGTTCAGAACTCACTGGGTTGGGAATATGTCTTGGATGTTTGGCTGTGGGTGCATCAGAATCACTCAGGGATGGGGGGAGGTCCGGGGTGGCGGGGAGAGTGCCTGGTTAAAAAAAAAAGTTGATTCCCTGGCCCACCCATGCTGGGGGCGGGAGGAGAGGGTGGATACAGGGATCTGTGTTTTGATTCTGATACAAAGCCTAGGCACTGCGAGGCCTGTTACTTGGGGCGCTGGAAGTACTCGCCTGGGTTTGGGCCTGGCTGTGAGTCCCGGGGTTGCTTCCAGCCCACTGTGCACGAGCAGCGCCCCCCCCCCCCCCCGCCCCCCCCCGTCCCCTTCCTCTCGGGCAGCCTTCGGAGATGGCAGCACTGAGCTGCTGGTCTGTGGGTGCCCAGGCCCAGGCCTGTGCCCATAGCTGGGCCGCACCAGGGGAGGCCCCTGGACCCAGGCCCCTACCAGGGTTCCCAGCCGAGGGGGAGGAATCATCCTCTGGACTCTGAGGCAGGATTGGGCCTTTGAGCCTCGTATGCGAGGGCTGTTTGACATGGTGCTTAATAGTGAAGGCCCGAGTCTTCCCAAGTTCAAATCCCAGCTCCAGCAGCTGCTCAGTCTCTCTGCCTCATCTTCCTTGCTTATAAAATAGGAACGTAGTGGTACCTACCTCACCGGGCTGCTGTGAAATACAGGCAAGGCCCCTAGAACGATGCTAGACACACAGCAAGGCTCACCACCACCACCACCACTACCAAGCAGCCCCTCTGGCTCGAACAGGCAGCTCGGCCGCCACCCTGTCCTCCCAGGGGCAGTCCTGTGACGTGTCTGCCATGCTCTGCCATGGGGTCCCAGGGCATGAGTTCCTGAGAGTCAGGGTGAAGAAAGATCCTGGCCCTGCCCATGGGCCCTGGCACTTCATAGACAAGCCTGCGTCCTGCAGAAAACCCAGTGAAGCTGGTTCTGTTGCCCCTTTTGTGAAGATAAGGAAGTAGCACAAAGAGGTCCAGAGACTGAACGACAGTCACACCGCTAGTAAGGAACAGAGCCCTTTCTCCACCAAGATGCTTCCTGAAGAACAGTGGTACCGGCTTCGAGGACCCTCCCCAGGAATGTCTGTTTCATAGGCACCCGCAGAGCCCTAACGGATAGGTCCCCCTCCTCAGCGTCCTGGGGTGGTAGCTCACGGCGCCTCCCATGCCTCCGTATAGCATTTGTTTCCTCGGCAGGTATAACGGGGCTGGTCGTGAGTCCGCCCCTGGCAGTCTCAGGGCGGGGTCTGGATTTAATCAGCTAGTGGTGCAGAAGGTACTTGAACTAGGCTGGAAACAGGAACCGCTGAGGGATGCAAGCAGAGATACGGGGGAGCTGTCGTGGGGAATGTGGAGCGGGGCATCCTCCCCAGACCTGGCATGTGCCCTCCTCCACTTCACTGTGTGCCAGCGGGTGTGCCAGGCAGGTGCCTGCCGCGTACCAGCCTTCAGCGGCCTCGCAGACGCCCCTGTGCTGGAGAGGCCCACTGACACCATCAGATGTGGGGTCAGAGCCCCTCCTTAGCTGTGCCAGCCGTGGGCCCTGGGCTCTGCCAGCTGCAGGGAGGACTGAAGAGGATGGGACTGGCTGGGAGGGAAATGAGCTGTCAGTTCCAGTAAGAAATCTGGTCCCCACCCCTTCCCGTGCTCTCCCTAGGGAATAAAAGCATCTGTGATTAATGGGGTGCTGACTCATTGCTTCTGGAGTATCCAGGAGCCCATGGCCCCCTGCTGGCATAGCTTCCCCGGCCACCAGGGCAGGGGCTGGGATCCATGGCACTAGTGAGGGAAGGCACAGACCCAGACCAGCGGTGTGCCAGGCAGGCGCGTGCTGCGTACCAGCCTTCGGTGGCATCACAGACGCCCCTGTGCTGGAGAGGCCCACCGACACCGTCTGAGATGTGAGGTCAGAGCCCCTCCTTAGTAGGAGCCTGGGCTGGGGACTGGGCTCCTTTCAGAATAAATGTGATTTCCAAATAAGTGACTAGCCTCCTAATGCTGCGACCCTTTAATACAGTTCCTCATGTTGTGACCCCCAACCGTAAAATTATTTTCGTTGCTACTCCATAACTGTAATTTTGCTACTATTATGTCTTAGGCGACCCCTGTGAAAGGGCCGTTAGACCCCCAAAGGGGTCGCAACCCACAGGTTGAGAACTGCTGAGAGGCTGACTCTAAATTGAAAAGGGACAATGAAGGCAAAGCTCTGTGCTAGTAGTTTGCAAAATTTTATAGTCTTAGAAGCCTTTTTGTTGTTGTTGTTAATCCTTACCCGAAGATATTTTTTTCCCATTGATTTTTAGAGAGAGTGGAAGGGAGGGAGGCAGGGAAGGGGAGATGGAAAGAGAAACATAGCTGTGAGAGAGACACATCAATTGGTTGCCTCCCGCACACACCCCAACTGGAGCCAGGGGTCAAACCTGCAACCCAGGTACATGCTCTTGACTGGGAATCGAACCAGCGACCCTTTGGTGCGTGGGCCGGTGCTCTAACCACTGAGCAACATCAGCCAGGGCTAGAAGCCAGTAAAAAGTCCAATCCTGCACGGGATGCCAATGGTACAAAACAGGTTAAAGTGGTAGTGTATTAATACACATTTATTTTTAAATTAGAAATCTTAACACTGATTCATTATCACAGTCCATCAATAGAACAATGACTCTGAGGCATAAGAGCACTGGAATCTCAGGGTCTGGAGCGGGGTGGGCAGACTGCAACCCCAGGGCCTAACCCAGGCTGCTGCCTGACTCTCGTGAATCAAGTTGTACTGGAGCACCGCGCACCATTCGCCGACACAGGGTCTGGCTGGGAGCGGCTGTGCCGGAGACTGTCTTCCCACAAAGACAGACATACTTACCTTTTAGCCCCGTATAGAAGGGTGCGGGCTGTGTCCTAGCTGCTCGTCGTACCGCTGCATCAGCTGTAACACCCAATGTTTCTCCTTGTTTTAGTTTTTCTTTTGGCTGCGTTGTACAATGTCAAGAAAATTCTAAGTCGTGTCAGTAGGAGGCTGTGAACGGTAGCGGGTTCCTGGCAGCTAGGATGGTCTCCGGCTCGGTGTTAGGTGGACATTCTGGAGGGAGAAGGGATTCTGGTCTGCATCACTGACAGCTCGAATAACCGCTGGAGTTCTTATCACAACACTCAGGCAGGAAGCTCATAAGCGTTTAGTATGTTTTTTGTGATAATTCATGTAATACGGTCTCAGATCGCTGACAGCTTTAGAGTGAACTAGTTTGTGTGGTTTATGTAAACATGTGTAGTCCTGAATTTAAACAACAACATCCAGATGCCCAGTAAAGACCTCCAAGCTTTCTAGTTGTAGACACGTTTCAATACCGAAGTTCAAGACCTACCCAGACTGAGTCCGAGGCAGCGGCCGAGGGAAGTGGGCCACCCCTGTCGGCGGTGCTCAGTCTGTTTCAGTGCGTTGTAGCCGGTTTTAAGGTGCAGGTCCATTTTCCGTAGAGGTTTTGATAGGAGTCGAACTGTATTTTTGGAATCCAATTCTCACGTGACGCCCCTGAAACACCTCCAGAGACCAGCTGGAAAACTGCTCCTTCGGCAAATATTGGTGGTTCTCAGCTCTGTGCTTAGGGATAACGGAGGAGCCACGGATGCTGAGAGTTGGGAGTTAAGTCGTGAAAGGGGTGGAGGAGAGAAGCGAGATGGCTTGTAGTGGAAAAAGTCCTCGGAAAACACGGAGAAGCCTCCCCGTGAGTTCCTGCTGAAGCCTAAGGTGTCTCCTAACTTACGATGACCTAAACGCAGCCCTCTGGGGGAACTCGAGTGCGTTCCGACCTTCAACTTGGAAGAGGTCCAGAAGGACACGGGAAAGTTTAAAATACTGGAAGAGAAATGGGGTGGGAGTGGAATGAGCATACAAATGGCTTCTAATCAGTATGCAAAGGGCCTTTGAGGCCACTCAGCAGATCAAGGTGGGGGAGGGGCAGGGAGAGGAGAGGGATGGCAGAGGGGTCAGCCAGGTCGGCGTGCCAAGCCAGCTGTGGGCAGGAAGAGGGCACATAAGCATGGGCAGTGTTTGTGAGTAACCTGTCAGAGCCCCAAGCAGGTGCTGGCTGGGGTTGGGCAATAGCTTTGGGCATTGAGGCAAAGCCTACAGAGCCAGGAATAAAACTCAGGAGTCCCTGCTCCCAGGCCTCCTGCCTTCCTTCGGCGGGGGCAAGGCAGGGAGGGGCAGGCCTGCTGCCTTTGAGAGGCTGTGGGCTGAAGGAGGCCTCTTGGGGATAAAAAAAGCACCCGTTTTTTCTGAGGTTTTACCACTC